AAAAAAAAAAACATCTAATTTTTTCAAGGAACTGTGTTACAGCACAAAAATGGAAAAATTTTGCGAATCTCATTTTTCATTTAATAGACTTCAGTCGCGGCACCATGGCATTTCTTCGCAATATGACAAGAAAATAGTTCCTATAATGGTCTACAACACACCACGGAAACGTAAGCAGCAAAAGTCATCTCGCAAAAGAAACTCCAAACTACAACAGCCAGTCTTTATAACTAGACACTGAAACATCTGGCGAGAATATCCGCTGTCTTCTGACGTCAAAAGAATATGACGAATAAATGGATCGTCAGTTATAGCCACACACATGAGATATTGGGGTCAAAAAAGCTGAATAATAGAAAGGGGTGACATTCAGAAGTCAATTATTGAACTTTTTTCAAAGAAAGAATCAATTATTTAGCAGAAAAAAAAGTTTAATCAGGTGCCTTTCACTGGACCATTTACACTGAAGCATATCTTGATCTGTCATATATGCAAGAGTATTTAAGAATATTTCAATCGAAGCAGGATCAAAGTCATTTACAAAGACGTAGGAATTGTTTCCAGTTAAAGACTTCCAGCACTACTGTCAGAACGCGCACCATAGCACGCAACACCACAAATATGCTAACTTTTGATTCTAATATTATTTAAAAGAATTATGATTTCAAAAAAATAACTTTTTTCTGACAACATAAAGTATCGCTTTTGTAAAAAAAATATTTTCAATATTTGTTTTTGCCCTAAATAATTTGCCGATGTAAACACTTCGCCGCTTTTCTGAATCTGCGACAGACTTCTCAAATGAATTAAAACTCAGAATAATCTATTAAAAATGAACAGAAATGCAAGTTTTAAAGGATGAACATGTTCAGCAAAAAGTGCACTTCTTTTATGATTCAGGATAATTTGGTTTTGCTCCCTGTAGCGAAATTTTTGGAAATGCTCTCTCTTAATTTCATCATTGAGTACCGGAAACCACAGACTGGCAAAGTTTAAAAAGAATTGGAAAGTTTGGCTAAAAAAGTCTGTGTTTTGATGTAGAATGACTTGTATACGTGTACATTCGCGCACTTACCTCGCTAAGTTTCAAGCAGTCCCTCAAACGTATAATTTCCTGATTTTTCCTCTCAATTGTGTCTTTTAAATCCGATGACTAAAAATAGCAACTGTCAGGTGACTTCAAATCTCATTATTTTTATAACAACTAGTTGTTACCTCAGATTCCAGTTCACCAACAGTACCTCTCAAGTGATTTATCTCCTTGCAGTTCATCTCCAATTTCTTTTTATTTTCCAAAAACAACAATTCCTTCTGTACAGCCACAGCCAAAAGTTTTTCTAAACAAGCAACGTGGTCAGGAGACAAGCAAAAAATTAAGTTACCACAATACAGTGGCATAATACAATTTATCCTACAAAAAAATAGATAAAAGCTGAAAAAACTACCTTCTGAATTATTCGTTGCATCACCAGCAGCTAAAGCAGAAGACTGCGACTCTTCAACAGGAGAAAACGCGGGAAATTCTCTTGAACTCGATGACTGTTGCTTATAATAAGGAGTCGAAGTACAAAGAGGAAGTGAAGGAGACACATCTTCTCCAGTCCGATCACCCTCATTATTGTCAGCCTCCGTTTTTTCCTTTATTAATCCAAATCAAAGTAAGTTTCCTTGAAAAATTACTAAGTAATTTGGTTTGAAAAAAAAAACCTTTGTAGCAACTGAATTAGGAGCGGGATTTCCTGCTGAAATGCTGACTTCTGACGCTACGTCCTCACCAACGAAATCCATCCAAAAACCTGGAAATGAAGTAAAATGTTACGGAATTCCCCAATATCATATAAAATTCGACTTTAAACTGAAATACTGCTAGAAGAATTGAAAATTGTAAAAAAAAAAAAAGAAGTAGAAAACTACTCTTATGGAACAAAGGTAGCTGCACTTAAAATTGCGAAGCAAAGAAATATAAATCCAGACGGTTGCTATAAAATTTTCTCAATTTTTAAATGGATGGCAACGAGAATTCATAGTTTTCCCATATGACGGTTTGTTGTAACAAACAAATTTTACTTTAGAAATATCTTCTATAAGGTTCCTACCAACACAATATCCAAACATAAAACGACAGATCAAAACTGTAGTACGCTAGTTTGCTTTAAGTAGCAGACCTCAACGAACTGTACGTCTTATTTCATATTCATTAGACCTGTAAATAAATAAAGATGTTACTTAAACCAAACTTTTTTCAAGCAATAAACCGCGATGTCTGACTGAGACGTTCACGATCAAAGTGTGTAATCTTTTCACAGTGACGAAGCTCCCTACATTTTCTCAATTTCTAGAAATTAAGCACAAACACAACAGCAGACGATTTACAAACCTAATAAAACTGCAACGAAGACAAATAGAAAAACGCTGCGAAGCATACTGTAAACGCAGCAACATTGTGTTAACTTAAATGAAGCAGCTTTAAAAACTGAAACTTAAGCCAGTGCCTGAGGTGCCTTTACTTCTGTGAACAGAAACCAAAAAAAGCGAGACGTGATTATGCTATTAAGAGGATTTGACTCTAATCATTTTGCGGGAAATTTAAACACATTCAAATGTCGAAGTTGGTACGGTGCCAATATTTTTATTCATTTTTAAATTCAGTCAATTGAAGTTGCAGAAAATGTTTATTTTGGCTGAGAAAGCATGAAAGATCTAACAAAGCAAAAAAAGTGAATTCTATATTAATTGGGAGATCTGACAAACCAAAAAAAGAGTGGATTCTATTTAAATTGGGCCGGGCCACAAATTCGGAGGGATAATTATTTCAAGCAAAAACTTTACAGACTTCGCAACTTTGAGGAATCTAACTTGGTGATGAACCTACTTTTCCAGGCTCTCCTCCTCGTTTTTTGAACTCAGACTCAAGCACCAGAGAGTAAAATATGGAAAGTTTTGAGACATCAAGAGTTGGGCTTCCGAATTGGCATGGAACAGCCTGTATATACATAAAAATACAAAGTACTTCCTCACCAGAAACGCCCTTGATTTACGGTTTCAACAATCAAATAATAAGAGCACTTCAAAAAAACGCAAATTCAAGTAATGACTAGCAAAATACAACAGTTTACCAATTGCGGTTAATGAAAAAAATTTGAAATTTCAAAATAGGGCGTTTGTAAACAAACCCCTTCAAGAAAAAAAGAAAGGCAGAAATTTCGGGTCCAAAAATCTGACTAACATCAACAGAACTAGTAAAGGAAAAAAATGCATTGGGAACTAGCTGACACTCCAAAGAATCACCGCCAAATTTTTCGCTCTACATTTTTTATTCAAAGATGACTTCAGTAGGGTTAAAAAGAATAAATATTTTTATGAAACCCTAACAAAATCAAACTTCTTGTGCTGCAGAGCACAATCAAGGCACAAAACATTTATAATAATTGTGTGAAGACATCCATAAATCGATGGGAAACACAAAGTAAATCTAAAGTGAAGCTAAGTATCTAAAATTAGGAGAAAAAGTAAACTGATTTTCGCACTTCTTCAATATCTAAATCACCGAATACAAACTTCGGTTCAAAAATGTTCTTAAATTCGGAGTACTTTTGTGGAGGCATCGTCTTTCCAACTTTCGCGCCAAGATATTTTGATATGAAGAACTAAAAATCAAGTAATTACTGACGATTTATTCC